TATACGTTTCAACTTATGGTCAAAGTCTTCTTCAGTACAAAAAAATTTTTTATTTAAAATATTAACAAAATTACTAGTGACAGCGCATACGAGTATAAACTATTAACGTATAAAATGCGAAAAAACTGGTGGTAATGTCCGAGTTATTTGATTTCTTTAATGATTGTGCTGATGATTTTGTTACTGATAAACAATTGACAACCCAAGAAGAAATCAATAATAAAAAATTTTTCTGTATATCATTTATTCCTAATATTTCCACTAAAATCAGTTTGCTCTAACATGTACTATTTTTACGTACAGCTTAAAGGCATAAATAAGCTCAATAAATTTATCAAAGTCCAGAAAGATGTGCTACCTCAATCTTCTCAATCTAATGTAGTATTATATATAAGATTGACTGTAAGGACTGTAATGCGTCGTATGTTGGACAGACAAACAGATGCTTAAAAACGCGCATAAGTGAACATAGGAATCATATTAATAGAAATACGATCCAACATTCGGTTATCACACAACATCGGATGGACTTATTTCATGAATTTGATTGGGATATCATACATATTTTAGACAAAGAGCAAATTTTACATAAAAGATTGTTATCAGACATGATATATATTAAAAAACAAAAACAAGGCCTGTATCTATAAAACGATACACTTTCTCTCGATCCGTTATATACAGATCTGTTTTCAGAGACGTAATGATTCAATCTATATTGCTTATACTTGGTTATTTATTATTTATACATATTGTCTTTGTAAGTACATGTTCTGTTGTCCACTGTTTCTCTCAATTTTTATTTTACATCAATTTTATGACTAAACAGTTATGTCGTGTCTAATAACTTTTAATTTTGTTTCATGTAAGTGAACTAAAGTTTGATTTTTACTATTATCTATATTAACTTTTTAAGTTATTCACATTTATATTACACAGTAAATGGAATAATCTAATGGAACATGTACATCAAACCTTATAGAAACAATTCAATCTTGACAGTCATGTAAGTTATTTTTACCATTTTTTGCGGATAATTTCATGTTAGCATTTTAAAATTATTTTTTAATTTCTTTTAGTCGCTTCAAAACAAAAAGCACCATATGTTGTTACATTTATATTATAGAATACAAAATCACAACATTAATATCATGTTACTTTTAGTTTATCAACTGAACAGAATTCCATATCTTCCGAATTCTTCGCAAATATTGTAGTATACTTTTCATTGAGAGGAATCTTTGAATTGTCCATGTGCACAATTATGCGCGAATTGATTTGATAAAAAAACGATTACACAAACACTTTTTAATTTAATTCAATGAATAATAGCTCAAAAGAAATACAAAATGATGTATTTTTGTAAGATATGCACAATCAAATAAACAAAATAAGAATGGACATACCGTTTTATTTTCTGGGTGCCAAAATTATTACCAAATTATGTAATTTTTCTTTTTCTCACCTTTGCTGTTAACTACAGTTTTAAACTGTATAACTTAAGGTAAATGTTCATGTCGCTCGTCGCTCATATTCAGCGACAAACGAGTCACGTGATTTCATATGTTGCTAACTCAAATGTCGTTCACATAAATGGTTTAGCAGCGATAAATTTTTAACGGTAATTATATTAATTGTGTCGTATAAAGTGTTATAAAGTCATACCAAAATGTCATATCAAAACAGTATTACGATTGGACCTGTTAAGTTGATGCAATTGTGCACAATCTGGAGACACGATAGTGCATTAATGAATGTACAAATTTAAACAGAAAATATAAACAAAAATTTTTAATTGATCCTTTATTTGAAAGGACAAACATGGATAAAAAAAAATTATCACGAATAATTGATTACATGCTTCCATACATTCATGAGCTGAAATGCTCTTTTCGTCTATGATTATTTCACCTATATCACAAGTATGTACAACAGCCGCCTGAAAATTTTATGAAATTATCGCAAATAATAACGAATAATACAATAATTAAATAATAATAATAAATAATAATAATTTAATAATATAGTAATTAAATTAGTATAATATATTGAGCAATCATAAAGAAAAGTCTGTATAAATAAAATAGAAAATAAAAATAATTAGAGTTAAATGAGGTAAAATCGCTCGCAATAAATTTTTTATTGATAAGAAATTTATATTTATTTATTTATTGTGATAATTACTTAGAATACGGGCATCACTACAAAATTTGATAAAAATGTACTCATACGTTTTCACTCAAAATGAAAGAATCTGGCAGAAAAACATGGTGGTATGCTTCATAAAGCAAATTATTAAATGTAGAGTTGAGCTACGTTCGAAAACATTACTCGAGTGCTTCCATGTATCACTTTAACCTTGTGTTTAACACTGGATAAAAAGATATTGTAATACATGGGACCATTCGGGTGACGTTTACATCACGCAGCTCTAATAACTATTTAGGTAAAGAAAACTCGTTTTTCTAACCTGAATACACATTTAAGGCAGATTGTTTCATTTTTCTACTACATTCTCTCATTTCGAATGGAAACGTATCGAATGAGTATATTTTTATCAAGTTTTACGATGACATCCATATTCTAAAGCTACATTCCAAAACGTCCTCCGAGAAAAATTTTATTCGAAATATTGTAGTATACCTTATATATCCTATATATTTTGAAAAAAAATTTCCTCGGAAAGGATGTTTTGGAATATAGCTTAAGTAAATACTTTTATTATATTTACATCCTGCTGTTCCATGTTTAAATTTTTACGTAAGAGCGGTGTCACTAAAAATTGGATTAATCCAACTTTTCAACAGTGTCGCTGGCGATAAGAAAGTGGACAAATTGAAAGAGAATTCAGTCACGTGATCATTTATTACTGTGACAAGTGACATTATGAATTTATACTTTTAGGGAGCGTTTATATTGGCCGTAACCGTACGCCGTATGCCGTAATCTGTAAGCATTGATTAATCACAGTCAAGTATTCCCCTCTCATTCGAAAAAAGGTATACTCGAAGGTGATTGGTTAATTTTTACAGATTACGGAATATGGTTACGGCCAATATAAACGCTGTCTTATGGTTATATTTTAAAAGAATTATCTTTAGTTTAGAAATTCCGCTGCGGTGGCGTCTCCATTTGTCGGGAAAGTACCAAACCAGAATGCGCACAATTACCCGCTATGCACAATTCCCCCACTTTTCCCTGCTATACTTTACGTTACGCGTATTATAGGCCGGTATTCACAGTCGATTCTTATTTTAAGACCGTTTTAAGTAATGTCTTAAGACGCTAATGCAGCCCTCTGGTTGGTTCATAACATCTCAAAACTAAACTTAAGATGGTCTTGAATATAAGATCTGATTATGAATACTGGCTATAGAATTTCGAAAATAAAGGTGTACTTTTTTGATAAAAGCGTTCTGAATACGGGCTATGATTGGCTATGATTATGGTGGAAGAAGATAGGCGGGACAGCTTAAGAGATGCGCAGTAAAATCAAATTTAGGATTCAAATTTGATTATTTGATTGGCCGTTGTGTGACAACTTGAGAGATGTACGATAAGATCAAAAATTTAGGACCTTATTATTGGCTGACTGATTGCCGTTATGGCTCTGAATAGCCGTTATGCGCGTTACCTCATCTGTCTTCTTTCACCATAGTTACGATAGGTGCATTGAAAATTGGAGACGTCCGTTTTCTTTTTTACCTCGAAAATCGTTCGGCATCTCGTATCTTTCTACTAGATGTCATCTTATCTGCGTTCGCTATTAACATTTCTAGAGCCAATCGAACTGCTCGATCCACTCCATATTCAAAGACCAAGTTCGCAGAGCTAATGCAGATTTTCGCGTCTAAATTAAATTCATCATACATTCATAGTACATTTATGGTAATGGATATGGTCAACATGAAATTGCAAACGCTTTGAAGTTTTTTTAATTGGTCAGTTTGTAAAATTTTTTCTTCTAATTGGGAATAGGGGATTGATTCTGTATCTTCAAATAAGGTGAAAATTACAAAAGTGAGCAAATTTATTAAGTATTGACCAATAAAATCAGTATTCTAGTAAATTCGCTTACTTTTGTAATTTTCATCTCGTTTCAAGATATAAGAAGTTGATTGTGTATCTCGGATTGAAATGAAAATTACAAAAGCGAGCAAATTTACTGGAATATTCACAATTTAATTGGTCAATATCTAGTGAATTTGCTCACTTTTGTAATTTTAACTTCATTTCAAGATACTCAATCGATTACCAGAATCGATCCTCAGAAAACAGACAATATATCAGGGTATCTGTCATAAAACTTTATCATTAGGGCTGCGTTTGAATTCTCACATGGGTATTCCTCAGGTGTCATGTCATCAATAGGTCTATTCACGTTGCTTGCACTTTTGGCACTCGACATCTTCGCTTTCTCTCTTTTTAAAGCAAAATATGTATCTATTTCATTTTAAGTTCAAAAAGATTTGGGGATTTTATGCAACGCGAACAGACCTCTTGTTTCAGTAAGTCCGGATCTACAATAGGTGTTTTAAATCTTAAGCCATAAGAAAGTGGCTAATAACAATTAAATGTAAGAAGAATAATTAATTGTGATTCGTTCATTTCTTATGGCTTAAGACTTAAAAATCTATTGTAAATCCGGACTAAACAACAAGGATGATATGACATCCGGATAGCACTCAGGTGGAAATTCGAATGCAACCTAAGATGAAAGTGAAAAATAAAAATTTTTAATCATCGAAATTAATGGAGAAATTTTTCACTTTTCACTTTTGATCCTAGGAAAAAAATTTCATGATTAATAGGGAAATCGATTGTGTATCTTAAAATGAGGCAAAAATAACAAAAACGAGCAAATTTACGTGAATATTTGTAATTTTATTGGTCAATATCTAATGAATTTGCTCACTTATAATTTTCATCTTATTTCAAGATACACAATCAACTCCCAGAAATTATTGATGGATTAAACGTAGTTGCTAGGAAACTCGATGTTCATAATAAATTAACAAATATGTTACTCAAGAAGTCGTTTAACTAATACTTCTAAATTTATACAATTTTTAAATTTGACGTATACCAATATCATGTAAGTTGAAAATGCAAATATAGAAAAAAGAAAAAAAAGAAAAAACCTAATTAGAAGAAAAATTGTCAATATTGAGCGTTATAAGGAATTTACAAAAGAAAATGCCTTGCGATGGTAAAAACCCAAATTGTGACAGAAGACGTGATTTACTAGCGCAATTAAAATGTTTAATCAGTTCAATGGATAGGAAGTAAGATTGTATTTATCTGCATAATAAAAAAGAAGAAAGTGTGATTTATTATTTTTATTAAATTTGTATATAGGAAACCATGTGAATGGGACGAACCATCTTGTTCACCAATAGTATACTGCCCTACAAAATCTTTATGTACTCCACCTTACTGTGTGAGTAATGAAAATTTTCATTAAAGCAAGTTTTTTATTATTTCTTCTTGAAGGATTATATAGTTTCCCCATGACTTATATATTAATAAAAGCTTAACTTTAAAAATATTTTTAATTGTTTATAAAATTAAATGTTAAACTTATTCATGAAACATATGATACATTAAATAATAAAAAAAAATATTGCAGGAATCTGTGAAATCATGTAAATTATTTGATCTTCGAGCAAGCATAATATATAAATGCGAATGTATAAAAAGGAATGGTTTACAAGATAGATGCATGATGTGGGATTGCATGGGTAGACCAGAGTGCATGACAAAATTGTACCCAATTTGCAAACCCGGTTGCACTGCATTATTGAAGTTGACAGATTTAGGTGACGTGAACGTTGCCCTTAGAAAATTCTACTGTGCGGACCAAGCTAGAGAGACAGCTCTAGCTGCGTATTGTAGATTAGCATGTGCTCCTGCAATGTCCAATACAAGATGCGTATCAAATCCATATCAATTTTGTGAACCATCACCATATATAGTAAAATCTTGTGATCTATGTTGTACACCTTGCAATTAGAAAAATCATCTCTTTCATGTAATGTACTCTATTAACGTATTTATATACCTACTTGCTTATAATAGGCCTGTTCTTTTTGACTGAACTTTTGTACCATTTTTCTTCTTCTTCTTCTTCTTTCCTTTTAAAGAGAAAAGGAAGAAAAATGAACTGATGCAAAAGTTTAGCTAAAAAGAAGTCTTTTGTATGTTTTATTGGGTGCATTTAGACGCATTTGGAACGATAATAATGGGCGATATTCATAGTCGGATCTTATATTTAAGACCATCTTAAGTAGAGTCTTGAGATGTCAACCAATCAGAGAACTGCACTAGCATTTTAAACATTATTTAAAACGGTATTAAATATAAGATCCGACTATGAATATCGCCCATTATTGTCGTTCCAAATGCATCTAAATGCACCCAATAAAACATATAAAAGACTTTTCTTTTTAGCTAAACTTTTGCATCAGTTCATTTTTCTTCCTTTTCTCTTTAGGAGGAAAGAAGAAGAAGAAGAAAGATGGTACAAAAGTTCAGTCAAAAAGAACAGGCCTGTTATAAGCAAGTACCAATAGATACATTAAATGCATCCAGAAGTACGATTGTTCTCTGAGCGCTCAGTGAGCTCTTGATTGGCATATTCTGTTAGATCTACAAATATAGATCAAACAGGTACAAGAGTTCATTGAGCACTCAATAAGCAGTCGTGCTTCTGGATGCATCTATTGAGCACTCAATGAGCTCTTTCACTTGATTAGCATATTCCTTTAGATCTTACAATGTAGACCAATCAAATCTAAGAGCTCATTAAATGCTCAGTGAGTGGTTGTCGTTCCGAATGCACTCATTGTTTAATTACTTAATTCTTAAGATTATAGTCGTTATTTATTCCATTGTCTTTACATTTTTGTAAAAAATTTCTTAAACTTAGAGATATATTAAGTTTACATTAATTGTACTTCTTGCGTCTCACTTGTAATAATTATTTCACAAAATATATAGTGTATTATTCAATACTCAATAAAAAGAAGAGAAATTTGATAGAAACTAGATTACATCTTTTACAATTACATAATTAGATCTTTTTAATTTTTTAATTTTATTAGAATTATTCGTTATAAACAGTAGTAATTATTTAAGCCCGATCTACAAAAGTCGCAAAATGCTTAAAATGCATTATAAAAGATACGGTCAACGCAATGCTATAAATGCTTTAACACACTTTTCGATTGGTCAATTTGTAAAATTTTTTTTTTTAATTGGTCAAACAAACCTTCTAATCATTTGTAGTAAGATTTTGATCGCAGCCAAAGTATATCAACGTAACTATATGCCGTATGCTAATCATCTTCGAGTATTCCCTTTTTACCGTCGAATGAGAGGGAAATACTTGATTGTGATTAGTCAATTTTTACAGATTACGGCATATCGCATATAGTTACGACCAATATAAACGTTCTCCTCGACTATGAATATCGATTTGCTTTACGTCGTGAAATTGATACTGAATCTTTCCTTGTTTGATGTACTTTGGCTGCGATCAAAATCTTACAACAAATGATTAGAAGGTTTGTTTGACCAATTAAAAACAAAATTTTACAAATTGACCAATCGAAAAGTGTGTTACGCTCCTTTACATCTAAGACTGTCTTAAGTATAATCTTAAAAGCGGAATCCATAGACGTTATTCAAGATTTGAGATGGTCTTAAGCTAGTGCATGAACCGCATGAATCAATCAGAGCCATATTGGCATCTTAAGACATTGCTTGAGATTAAGAACAGACTATGAAGCAGATTAAGAACAGACTTTTCAGCCTTGGGCCGGATGTCGTAAGTCAATCTGGACTGTATTAGCAGAGAGAAACCTGAGAAAGGACATGCCGATCTAAAACCTGTAACTACAAAATGCTACCGCGCACTACCAGCCTTCGAAGAAGTAGATGTTAACTACACAACAATATCCACCTTTTTGCGGTGTTTCTAATGGAAATAGATAGTTGAAATCGCTATAATAACTAAAATCTATTAAATTAATAAAAAATTCAACAATTTCATCAATTTATTTTCATCAGGTGCACTGCAAAAAAATGAATATTATTATGTAGTTAATATTTACTTCTTCAGAAGATGGTAGTCCACAGCAGCATTTTGCGGTTATAGGTTTTGGGCTGTTATGTCCTCTCTCAGGTTTCTTTCTGGTATTTGCGTCTTAAGACATTATTTAAGACAGTTTTAAAATAAGAACGAACTATAAATATCGTATCATGTTTCGCGTTTCACAGTTGGTAACTTATGTATATTATAGACGATGCAAAAGTAGATATGGTTTGGCCGAACTGCACACACCATGTCAAGGACCGTCTACATAAGTCGCAAACATAGACGCATTTGCGACAATCAATCAAAAGCTATTATTAGTACTATTAACACTTCTAATTGGCTATTGCAAATGCATCTGCGATCTGCGTTCTGTGTGTTTGCAACTTATATAGACCCTTAATACTTCTATTATCGTCGCAGGTCGTTGCATCAGCCAATCTGATGCGTCAATTTTAAAAGTAGCCTTAAGCCTATTCTACAATCGTAGGCCATAAGAAATTAACCAATCATAGTTGATAATTTTTGTTATATTCTACTATTAATTACATTTACACGGTACCTTTAATCGGGTTTAATAACATCCGTAGTTATGAAATTGGTCAATTACAGTCGTTCCATTCTTCCGAAGAACAGCTATAATTAGCTATTTTCATAACTACGGATGTTATTAAACCCGATTAAGAGCTGCCGCACACAAAATTCCGCAACAGCGATTATAAGACGTAGACTTAAGCCGATGAGCTAATCAGGATATTGCTTTAGATTTACGACTCTAATGGAAATGAAAATAACCGGTTGAAACTCACCTTATTGCGTGGTTATGGATAAGTTTACTCATTGACTTAAGTTTACGTCTTACGATCACTGTTGCGGAATTTTGTATGCGGCAGCCATAATAAGAGTGCCGTGTAAATGTAGCCTATGATTGGCTAGATTCCTAAAAAAAACCCAGATATAATAAAAGCAGCGACACAGATTTTTGCATAACGCATAAAACATGAGGCATGAAAAAATCAATCAATCAGAGTCCTTTATTTCATGGAAAGGAAGGAAAAAAAGGATTGGTTGATTTTTTAATGCCTCATGTTTTATGCGTCATGCAAAAGTCTATGCTTAAGAATAGACCGAGCGTGTCCTCTTTGACGTGAAGATCAGGTAAAAAAAGATAGAGAGCAGATGCCGTGTAACTTTTTTTCTCTGAGCATGTCATTCTTTCTGTCATACTCAACTGTCTTTCTACTTTTCTTTTTTTTCACACTTTACTCTCCTCCCACTCTTTCCTCATCAAAAAAAGAAAGCTACATGCATCTGTGGCGACCGCCACCAGAGGTCCAAACGGGGGACTCACTCGGATTCGCGAAAGTACTTCAGTCACGCGAACTTGGTTTAAATAGCATAGCCACCTAAACTAATTCCAGGACGTCTAAGGCCTCACTACAGCGCTTTACTAATGAATCTAGTAATGGGACCGAGACGAAACGCCACGGCCAACCAAAAACAGCTTCGAGTCCGGCCTTCTTAGTGAGTTTCTTCCTTTACCGACATCCATTATATATAGCAACCCGCTACATATCCATTGTCCATCTTTTTTTATCTAATCTTCACATTTCAAAGCTCGGTCTATTCTTATGTCTATGGAAAAAAAGTAGTCTGGTCCATGATGAAAGGAATTACATAGTGTGCTCAGTTTGCAAGCGTCTCTCTAATTCTCTGCCCTCTTGCTCACAGAGTGATTCGTAGATCCAAGTTAGCCAACCTTAGTTGTTATCTTCGCATGCACATTATTTAGGTTCGCGTCTTTTTTTATCATGTGTTACTTTGTACTATCAACGTTTATTCGCTTCGCATGCTCCTACTCATTTTAACGTGTTCGTTGGAGCTCTATAATACAAATTAAAACATCTTTCAAAAATATATATTCAAAATATCTATACTTTTTTATAGAATTTTATATATATATAAATTTTAAAATATTGTAAGATTCGTATAAAAAAATTTGAAATATTTTCTAAACAGTTATAAGACGATACAGAAATTCTAAAAATTCTGAAATTTACATAAAAATTATGGAAAATTATATAAAAAATTGTGAAATAAAATTTTATAAATCTGATGATAGAAATTTTTCCCAGATCTTTCATATAATTTTTCAAAATTTACATTTTCTATATAATTTTATAATTTTTTTGAAAATTTCTAATTTTTTTATACGAATCTTACAATATTTTATAATTTACATATAAAAAAATTCCGAAACGTTGGTAGTACAAGATAGCACATGGGACTATGAATAGTGTAATGCAATAACATAGTCGAAGCCGGTAGCGCTTTTCAAAAATATAATCGAGGTGACACAACACCCGAAACGAGAAAAAACACGTCTGACCCGCTCGAATAGTCTCACGAGACTCGAGAGTACACCATGTAAATCTTTCCACCATGATCTGGCCACAGTATAAAGATATGTGTAGGAGCAAGACCCCGTTTTCGATTCAATTTCGGCCACGCCGCCCCGAACAAGAAAAAATAACACATTCTACCCGCTTGGAGTCTAATTGCCTAGAAGTTGCAGCCTAGACAGTAAAAAGACCGCTCTAAAAAGACCGCTTTAAAAAGACTGCTTTCACACCCCACTGTCTTTATGGATTAGAAATATTTCAAGCGGACATTGTCTACGCTGTAACTTCTAGGTTAGACTCCAAGCGGATAGCATGTGTTATTTTTTTTTGTTCGGAGTGGCGTAGCCCCCATGATGCAAGTAGACATAGTGCGCTTGTAACTAAGATAAATTTGCGCATAGCAACGCGCTGATCTTTGTTTGCGTCGCATGCTCTTATATATTCTAAAATGCTCCTACTATAGCATTTGCTCACTCTAACGCGATCATTAAAGTGAGTAAAAGGCTGTAATAGAAGCACATTGGAGGACATTGGAGCATGTTGGAGCGTGCTACGCAACAAATCTCTTATTTTCCGCCATTTTACAACATATAATATATACGCGCGGTTGTCATATGATTTGAAATGATTAAAAAATATATTAAATATTAAGGAAAATAATAAATAATAGTAAAAAAAATAATAAAAAAGTAATTATTTACTATAAATAAGTGATTATTTACTATGTGTGTGAAACTGAGTTACTGTCATGGCGGGCGGATTGAAACAAAATCCGCCGAAAAAGGACAAAAAAAGGTCAAGTTCCGATTGATTGCAGCAGATAACATGCGCAAAAATACACCATGGGTACTTTTCATTTGATGACACAAATCGACACAAGTGTCATTCTAACTTTGTCACTCTCTGAACGTCAATAAGGGTAGAATGACGCTTGTGTAGACTTATGTCATTAAATGGAAAACACCCCATATTTACT